CCCACCGCCCCCACCGCCTCTGTCCCAGAGCCGTAGCGTCCTCTTCATGGCTCCCCCCCGGGCCCTGTCACCATCCAGGTTTCCCCGTCAGGGGGTGGAGGGAATCTCCATCAACAGTCCAGCCCCTTCCCCGGGGAGGGGCAGGCAGGCCGCTCCTCCAGGTTCCGGCCCCAAGACCACGTAGACAGCCCCCTCTCGCGGCTACGCCGGTGCGGCTTCAAATCCGGGGGCCACTTCCCCTCGCCTCTGGCCTCTTCTCAGGGCTCCAGCCCCCCGTCAGCAGCCGCTCTGCCCAAAGCCTGCTGGAAACACGGTGGTCCTCCCACCTCCAGCCTCCTAAAGCAACCAGCAGTCTCCGCCCCGCAGCTCCCTTTTATATGAGCCCACTGGGTTCTGATTGGCCACTGGGTGTTGTTGCTCTGATTGGATGCTTCTTGCACAGCCTCCCTGGACTGCTTTTAACTCCTTCCTTTCCAGTGCGGGGCGAACACCCCATCGCACCTAGCACACGGTACGAGACAGGCACACTTCCAGTGGCCCCCATCCCCCGGCTCTGTGCTGGCATCCAACAGTTCCAGCCTAGCCCATAGCCCAAGCAGGGAGCACGTGACTGGCCTGGTTTGTCCAGCTCTGAAGCTGGGCTGGGCCACACCCCCGCCAGCCAGATGCGGGCACAGGCTGGGTAACTGAGCCGTTACAGCTTCCGTCCCGCCGAAGGAACTGGGAGGTGCCCTGGGAGACCAACCCCCCGCACGACGGCCTGAAGCTCGCTCGGAAGAAAGCCCCCCTCTGCAGCAGGCCCGAGTTGAGAGGCGTTTCCGCACGCCCCAGCTAAGCAGAGACGCTGTTTCACCCACACCTGTCCCATCCCACTCAAGAGGTCGTCTGGGGACGTCACTCCCCGAGCACCCTGGCCCACCCTGAGGCTGGACTTCACCCTACGGTGCCTGAGGGCTGGCAGACCTGCTCCACGGCTCCCAGAGAGACGCGCAGCACCTGGCACATAGGGGCAGGCTCCACTGCGCCCATTAGGGATGCCTGTCAGCACTGACTGGTGGGAAGGCCACGGAGAACAGGGCACCAGCACCTCCAGGGAAGTACCGGCCCAGCAGAGGCAACGTCAGCTCCACGGAACAAACATTTGGAGGCCAAACAGAAGAGCCGGCACCCACACGAGCAGCCTTCCTGCCGGCACTCAACACCCTGCTCTCGGCCCAGCCGGGCGCACCACGCGGCCTACCCGCCAACTCAGCGCCCATGAAGAGAACAGGGCTCAGATTATGCAGCAGCCTTCACTCGGCCGTTTCTGGAGGCTTCCACCCTCTTGGCCTGGCCTACGTGGACATCCACAGCCCGCACACCCTCCCCCGGCCTACAGGAAGGAGATTGTTGTGCCTGGGCCTGGCTGTGGAGCAGGGGGAGGGGGTTGCAGCCCTTATGCTGGATGCTCTGAACGGGGGTGTCAGCCCGCACAGCCCTGAGGGAACTGACGGGTGGGGGGCCCCCCCAACACAGCCAGGTCTGGTGGGGCAGCAGCTCCTCATGCAGGACTGGGAAAGTCCTTGGGGACCAATTTCTGCAGCTCAGCCCAAGACCCGTCCCTGCTTGCCCTCGGCAGGAAAGCCAAGGGCGGGGCTGGCAATGCAGTGGGGGGGGGCTCACCTGCTAACCAGGCTGTGCCTGCTAGGTGACATCACGCCCCCCC